CTCATCACCACTGCAATGAGTAAAAACCTGCTGCAGAAAACAAATACCAAGATTCTTTGCTTTACAGCAACAGGTTTGTGTCACAGACACATTTTATGAAAAATCCGTTTGTTAGGATCTTTTCTCCTAAGAAGCCGAGAGGCCTCAGAAACTAAATGCATGCAATAATTATCTGCTGCTGTGGAATGCAACAGGTGCATCTTTGATTGGTCTCATGTGGTTGTTTTTAATTAATGGCCAATCACAGTCCTGCTGTATCAGACTCTCTGATCAATCACAAGATTTTATTATCATTCCTTTCCTTTCCTTGCTAGTCTTCTGATGAAATTCTTCCTTCTATTCTTTTAGTATAGTTTTAATATATAATTTTCTTTTAATGTAATATATATCATAAAATAATAAATCAGCCTTCTGAAACATGGAGTCAGATTCTTGTCTCTTCCCTTGTCCTGGGACCCCTAGGAACACTGCCACAGGTTTGCATCACCTACATAACTGCAGGACAAACAATGTTCTATGAGCAGCAAACACACAAAAGCTTTTTTAAAAAACACAAAGGTTTTTTATTGACCAAATTACATGGACCCCAAATTTTTTTGCCAAGCCTCAGCTTCTCTTTCTCCATAGTAACTCTAGTCCCTGTCCTGCCTTGTCCTTGAAGCCTTCTGACACAATCTCCAGTTGTGATCCTGAGCCATGCACATGCTCACTGGGCTCCTGGCAGCAAATGGAGCAGGTAACTCCTTGGCTGGAGCTGTAGCCTTCCTTGAGGGAAAGGGGGCACTTGTCTGTCCACATCTCTCTAATCTTGACACTGACTTCCACAAAACTTGCAGAAACTGACTCTGCCTTTGGAGACCTGTCAGATTTGCTTGATAGGGACTAGTGGGATGAAAGATGTTTGGAAGAGGCAGGCCTGATTTACAGCAGCTGTGTAAGCCAAGCTAAAATAAGAAGGTGGAAATTTAATAAAAAGGCCTCACTTTAATTGCAGATTGCGTTTTTGACAGCTCATGCAGTTCATCTTGAGCAATCAAATAACAGTTCAGGTACAGAAATATCATGCTAATAAGCTTAGAAGAAATGACACAATTTCTGTATGAAAAGGCAAGAATTCTGTAAGATAATTAAAGAATGCTGGTAGGAGACAAGATAAAGACAACTGCTTTCCTTTCCATTCTCTTCCCCTTCCATGCATGCCACAGGTGTCCTCAGTGGATCAAGTTCTGTCCATTTCCCAAATCACCTTTTTTTAGACCCACTGAAAATCAAAATAATACCTTTTCCAAGTTTAGCCATGCTGCAGGCAGCTGAGGGAGAGTCACACCCCCTGGGAGCAATTCAGATATTCTGCCTCTGTAAAATGGGGATTGCCAAGGGCTGCCCCTTGGCACGTCTGCAGTTCTTATACACAACTTTGGAAACAGGAGCACACATGGGTTTGGGCTTGCAGGGATGGAGAAGAAAAACTTCAGAATGAGGGCAGGAGATGGTCACTCACTTTTTCCACTTACCTGAACAAAATAGCTGAGTTAGGGGCTGCCTCTGAAACCTTCCAGACAGACTGACACCCACTCCTGGGCTATTCCAGAGAGAACTTCTCCCAGCTCAATACACACCTCCATTTCAGAGGCCTCACTTCAGCTACAGTACTCAAGCCAGAAACAAGGACACTTTCCAGTATCAAAGAAGACTTTTTTCATGTACCAGCTGAAAGCAAACACACACTTTTACTTGATCAAGTTTACCTGGTCTGGTGTAAAGTGACTCTGCATATGGCAGGGAGATTGCAAATAGATGATTTTAAAAGTCTTCTCCAACCTGAATTGTTCTGTGATTCTATGAAATGTGCAAGCACCAAACTGACTTGGAAACAGTAATTTAAAAGAAGCAGGAAGAAGCTATGTGATAGCACCAGCACATATCATGTCTACAGGTATTTTTAGAACAGAAGAAAGAAGATAGCTAAAGTAGATAAAAATATAGGAACTTCCACAAAGTAAGTCTTACTATGACTGTGGAGCCTTCCACTTCCTGTCAAGATTTAAGATACCTGAGTGCAAATTTTTAAATCAGTTTGTTTTAACTGACTCTCCATACCCTCAGCACTGTTAAAAGTATTATTAAGCAAAGCAGTAGGTATATCAACATCACTTAACCACTACAGTAGGTTTGCTCTCTACTGGTTTTGAACCTGAAAGAGAAACTTACATATTATTTGAAACTACATAAGATTCAAAATTTCCTTTGTTCACACCTAAAGTAATTTTTACCGCTTTACCACTTCACAAAGATCTTGCTGTTCACAACATGATGTGTCAGCCCCATCTATTTGCTCACACACCTACATAACTCCCAGGGAAGGAGCAAAACAATGAAGTGTGTCCATAAGGGCGCTGTCTTTGAATGACCAGCTGCTCCATGAGAGCTGATGTCAGAGCAGCTTCTTGTTGAAGAAATGGGACTGGAGCCCACCTGACCGAGCCCCCAGGGCCACACTGCTGTAGCCCCCCAGCACAGCTTAAGCAACTATTCCTCTGAGCTCCAGTCCCAGAAATAGCTCACACAGATGAGATAAATTTTCAGGGAAATGTAAAAAAGCAGCACATAACACATGTTAGGAAGCAGCATGAGATGATGTGCTCTGCTTTGACAATGTAAGAACTAGACAGATGCTAAAGGAGAAATAACACTGTGTGCATTTCTGTACCTGTTTCCCCACGTTCATAGAGCATTCCCTGCACCACTCCAAGATCCCACAGATGACAGGTCCTCTCTGTGCTTCAGAGCAGCTCCTGGTGACCATGGCTGTTCTTCACTGTCACCCATCCCCAGCAAGAGCATTTGCTTCTCTTCTAACCCCCACACTTCCTGTGCATCTTTTTTTTCTTCCCCAGCCAAGATTTCTATCTTACTGGTTAGCACCAACTCCTAATTTTCATATTTTATTTCATTTTTTTGTTCTGCATTTCATGAAGTTTCAAACTCAGTTTCTCTACTGAGACATTTAAACTGAAAGAGGGCAGATTCAGACTAGATATAAGGAAGAAACATTTTATGATGAAGGTGGTGAGGCATGGGAAGAGGTTGCCCAGAGAAGTTGTGGATGCTCCATTGCTGGAAACATTCAAGCTCAGGCTGGATGGGACTTTGAGCAACCTGGTCTAGTGGAAAGTATCCCTGCCCTTGGCAGGGGGGTTAGAACTTGATGATCTTTGGAGGTTCTTTCTAATCCAAACCATTGAATGACTCCATGATTTTAAAATTATCTTGTTCTCTCTGAATTACTGCAGTTTGCTACCTTGATGTGTCACACTGAATGGAAACCACTGATCTCTGGTGAGTTATTATACCACCTGGTCAAAGAGGAAAATGTGCCACATAGGAAAACTCATGGCTCCACCACTCAGCAGTTTCTAAATGCTATCAAAATTTCACTCAAACATCTTTTGTTGTACACAGACAGACCAACAAGCTGATGATTACATAAGCTGTCATTTCCATACTAATTTCAAAGAGGATTTTAAACCAACAAATGTAATGAGAGTGGAATGGCTCATTACAAGCCACAGGTTTCTGAGAACTGTAGGTACAAAAGCTTGATTGCATCCTGCCATGGAAGGTATTTGCACACCCAGAAGTTTTCTTTAGGGAAGTTGAATGTGATAGAAACCCTCACTAGACAGAACTGTTGGATCCAAAGGAACCACTATCACATGGATTAGTTTCTTCATTATGTGATCTAATGGAAAGATGAACAAGGATTTTGCTCTCCCCAAGATATTGGTTACCAAAATATGAAAAAGTAGCAGTCCTACAAATGCAGTTCAGTTTAAAAAACCCGAATCAACCAACCAACTAACCAAAGAAAAACCCCAAAAAAACCACAACAAAACAAAAACAAAACCCCCAAACCAACCCAGAATAAATTTATGCTTTACAGCAGGCACAAATATCTGCCTTCTGCAGCACACACATTCAATGGCACCGGAGAAGAATTGGCTCCCAAAAGGTGACACAGCATGAGGTAAAAAGCTGACCTAACTAATAACTGGAAGAAATCACTGAAATCAAACAGTTTTACATCAAAGTGCAGCTACTGCAAATAAGTCAAGAGAGGGCACATGGATCCATTTTCCTCAAGCAGTTTGCTTTGTCGCCTTCTTGTCACTGTAACCCTGACACAAGTCTTCCTTCTCCATGGAAGCAAACACAGGTGATTGTTCCTCGTGTCCCATGCATATCTGCTCCAAGACGTATTGGCCAACACCTGAATTACTTCAAATCAGGCATTTTAATGGTTCACATTACTTGGGTCCAGTAGTGAAAGCTGACATGTTTCAGCAGTGTCCTAGTGGATAATTCCCTAATATGTGTGACACCAAAACTGCCTGGGAGATGCAGGATTCATAGAAAACCTCCTGACACACCATCCGCCATCCCTGCAAAGTCCTGAGGGAGCGCTTTCACCACAAGGCCGCAGCAGCCGAGGGGGCTCTCAGGGCAGCCGATCCCTGTAGGAGCCCTGGCAGAGACACCGTGGAACCACAGAGTGTACTGAGCTAGAAGGGACCCACAGGGATCATGGCGCAAACCCCGACCCTGCACATCCCCAAGGGACACACCGTGTCCAAAAGCTCCTGGAGCTCTGTCAGGCTTGGTGCTGAGGCCACTTCCCCGGGGAGTGTTCCAGTGCTCAGCCATACTCTGGGTGAAGAAGCTTCTCCCGATATCCAACCTAAACCTGCCCTGACTCAGCTCCAAGCCGTTCCCTCGGGCCACATTCCACGGACAATCTTTCGCTTCGAAACTGTGCCGAAGCCCCTCACCACAAATTTCTCCCTCTCTCCACAGTACGGGCCGTAAAGTCCCAGCACATGTTTATTTAGGGCGTGTGGAGGCAGTGGGGGGATGTCCCGGGCGGCCTCAGCGCTCCCGGAACGCCGCGCTCGGGGCGCTGTTTCCGGGAGGGAGGGAGGGAAGGCGGGGGGGCGGGTTTGGGCGCTGCACCGGCGGGCGGCCCGCGGTCCCTCGGCGGCTCCGGCATCCAGGACGGCGCGGGAGGGAGACCGGGAAGGAGGGAGGATGAACCTGGAGCGGCTCAGGAAGCGAGTGCGCCAGTACATCGACCAGGTGAGCGCCCTGAGGGGCTGCTGGGGAAGGGGCGGCAGGGCCACGGGTTCTCCTCGAGGAAAAACCGCGCTCGGCGTGGCTCCCGCAGAGAGGGAGGCCGGGGAGCAGTGCCGGCCTCTGCAAGCGGCGGAGAGGGCGTGAATTCGTGATGGTGCCCGTGAATTTGTAATGGTGAATTCGTGATGGTGCCCGTGAATTTGTAATGGTGAATTCGTGATGGTGCCCGTGAATTTGTAATGGTGAATTCGTGATGGTGCCCGTGAATCTGTAATGGTGAATTTGTGATGGTGCCCGTGAATTTGTAATGGTGAATTCGTGATGGTGCCCGTGAATCTGTAATGGTGAATTTGTGATGGTGCCCCGTTCTCCCGAAGGGGAAGGAGCGGCGGTCACACCGGGGTGCGGCGGGCCGGAAAAGCCGCCTGTGGGTGTCCAGCAGGAGCCGGGGCCTCCCGGCGGCTTTTCCTGGTTTCCCCCTGGTGTGGAGAAGGAGGAGCGGAGCCGCCGCGGGGCCGCTGTGTAGCGAAGGCGTATTTGCAGGATCCCGCCCTCGGGTTGTGCAAGCTGGGCCGTGCCTGCCTAAGGCAGGGGAAATGGCCTCTATCGCACCCGGGCAGGCTCAGGTTAAGTTGGACATCAGAAGAAAAAAATCTCTTCGCTGAAATGGTGATTAGGCTTGGAACCGACTTCCAGGGCAGTGGTGCAGTCACCCTTCTTGCAAGTGGACGTGACTCTCGGTGATATGGTTTAGTGACCATGGTGGGCTCTGGCAAAGCTCGGGCTTGATTATCTTGGATGGCTTTTCCAGCCTTAATGATTCTGTGATCATTACAAGAGGGAATGAATTCAAACTAAGAGGAGTTATGTTTAGATGAGATATGAGGATGAAATTCCTTACTGTGAGGGTGGAACTTGAAACTGGATGCCCCATCCTTGGAAGTGTCCAAGGCCTGGTTGGATGAGGCTTTGAGCAGCCTGGTCTAGTTTAGTTTAAACCTGGAAGGTGTATCTGGCCCTGGCAGGTTAGAACGAGACAATCTTTAAGGTCTGTTCTGAGGCAGACCATTCTGTGATTCCCTGGCTGGTGATGAAGCTGCCCATCACGCTCCTGCAGAGCTGCAGATGCCTCGTAGGAGGGCAGGGTTGTTTTCGTTTGTTGATGGATTCAGCAATTATGTTGCTGCAGGGCAAAAAAAGAAAAAAAAAGACACACAAGGAAAAATACATAAATAAATTAGGTTAAATGTAGCATCAAACTGTTCTGCTCTTCTTCCAGTTCAGACTTGGTGCAGGCATCACTGCTGAGAAAAGCACACCCCTTTAAATCAGCAAAGGCATTTCTCTGTGTGGCCAGCAAGTCTGACTGAAAGGCTAATTAGGGACCTAGGCTAATTTGGTGGGTTTGATAGGTTTGGTTTGCTGCTCTCATTTGTGTTAAACTGTTTCACCAAGCTGTTTTGCCACACAGCCTTGCACTTCTGTGGAAGGGGCATCAGGAGGAGCATAAAATTGCTTTTTTGTGCAATAATGTGTCATCCTATAGTACTGTAAAAGTGCTCAACAGAAGTCATGCAGTGCCTTGTAGGCCTGGATTATACCATTCTTTTGGGGTGTTGAGGTAATAATTTAAATTATCTTTTCTTGTAGACAGCTACTAAATGTGTGTGGGGTTGCTTTGTGGGTTTTTGTGGATTTTTTTCCCCCTTGGGAGTGCAGATTGAAACCAAACTATTCTCTCTGACAAATTTGCTGGGTATTATTAATCCCCATCAAGTGGGAAATGTAGGAACACATGATAGAAGAGACCACTGAGGTGGTGTAGTGCTTTGTGAGGGCTGGGACAGCATCAGTGTGTGCCTGTCAGAGCAGACTGCCAGAGCTGCCCTCCCACAGCACACACAGTCTCTGAGGTTCTGAGCAGGCTGCAATGGTGCAGGAGGGGAGAGAAGCCACCAAGGTTTGCTCAGTTGTCAGAGAGCCACAGAGTGGTTTGGGTTGAAGGGACCTTAAAGAAGATCTGGTTCCACCTTCCACTGCAACAGGCTGCTCAGCCTCATCCAGCCTGGCCTTGGACACTTCCAGGGATGGGGCACCCACAGTTAATCTGAGCAATCTGTTCCAGTGCCTCACCACTCACAGCAAAGAACTTCCTCCTAAAAGCTAAACCTACTTTCTTTTTCAGTTTTAATCCATTCCTCCTTGTCCTCTTGCTACATGCTCTTGTAAAAGTCTTACAAATCCTTGCAATGGCAGGGTATTTGTTAAGTGTCCAGCATATCCTGGGAATCATATTAGGTTTCCTTGCATGGACTGGGATAAAAAAGAGCAGCAAGAATCCCTGGTGATTATCCCAGGAGAAAATCCCAGCCAGTTCTGTGAGATTTTTGCCTGACACCCCAAATCTGGTGGCAACTTTAGCAGGGTCAGTGGGATGTATCTGCAAATTCTGCTTTTGTCTGATCTCTGGTTGCCACCACTCCTACCTATTTCACTCACTTCTGCCAAAGTGGAGTCTCAAGAGTGAAAATGTGTTTCCAAGCAAAAGGGGAAATGCATGCAGGCACTATGGATTTATGTGAAGTTGAAGCGTCTTGACTGGAGAATGAACGTTTCTTGATCAGAGCTGGTGCTGCTGAAGTTACCTGAAGTAATTTTGGTGCCCTTTTTTATATACAGTATTGTCTTTTTTTCTGAAATGTAGCATTTTTTTAAACTGGAGATGGGGATTCTTGCTACTTTTCCAGTGATGGCAATTCCACTAATGACCTGTTGCCATACTTACACAGCACATAACTTTTGGTCAAAGATACCTGCAGTATTGGCCCTTTTGAACTATTTTTTGATGTTACAAAGATCTGAAATGTGAATCACCATTCATTGAGACTACACGCACAAGATATTACCTCTGACTGATGTACAATGAATTTCAAAATTATTCAATAAAGCCAACCCCAAAGGAATACTAATTATTTCTATCATGCTTTTACAGCAACAGTATCAAAGTGCCCTGTTCTGGGCTGACAAAGTAGCTTCACTCTCTCATGGTAAGTGGTCACTTTTTACATTGTATTTTATGGACTTCTTTCTGATAGTGTTGTGTTTTGGTGGGGTTTTAGTGCTGTATGGCCAAATATTGACATTTTGAGTTTGGTTTAAGTGCATTTTTGTGATCTTTGGAATGCCATTTTCCTAAATAGAGCAGAGCTCATCTTCCTTGACTTTTGAACTTTGTGTTAAAATTCATGTTTGAACAAACCTTAAGGTTTGCTTTCCTTAAGAAACAAAAAAACAGGAGCACCAAGAGAGCATGGTGGTTTCCCCCAGGACTCAGGGTTGCCCTGGTGATGAGTACAAAGTGTGTTTACACTCAGAGGAGTCGATGCTGCCCGTGGCCTCTGGCACTCACACTTCTTAAAGTGATCCCAGGGACTTGATCCCACAAAGGCTTTGGTTGCCAGTGAGGTAGGAGGGCACTAACCTGTGCTTCTGAAGTTGCAGCTCCAAGCTATGGAAGTCTAGTGCTTTCACTCTTGTTAGGTCCCCACTGATCTTTTTATTGAGAGAGACATTTATGGGTTGTTTTTTTCTGCCCTATATCCAAGAGCAGGGTAGCCTGCAACTGCTGTTTTTTTAATCTGTATCACTGTGGTCTCCTTCTCATGACACACCTCTATTGTGACATTCTTTGTATTCACTGTCCAGTGCACCATCTGAGGTCTTTAAAGTTAAAATCTGATTATCTTTTAATTTTAATCTCTCACTGATCGATACTGTAAGTACTTTATACACATTTATAAATAAAAGTTTGTAACTCAGTCAGATGCTAGAGTATTGGGAAGATACTTCTTTATTAAAATGTTTGAAGCTATGTTGTAAAGCAATGGTTTATAATTTGTTCTTTTACTTTAGAGGAACCACAGGATATATACTGGCTGGCCCAATGCCTTTACCTGACAGCTCAGTACCACAGGGCAGCGCACGCCCTTCGATCACGGAAGCTGGATAAGGTGAGTCCTTTTGGTCAAAGACAGGCGACTGTCACCCCTCTTTTAAGGCTCTGCTGCTAACCACAGTGACTTCTTCACCATCACAGTAAGAAAAGTAATTAAGAAAGCTGCATTATTTAGTTTATAAGGCCCTGTGTTCAGTCAGTCAGGTTTATAGCATTGTCCCCAAACAGGGCCACAGGAAAGAGAAGGGGTCTGAGGATGTAACTGCAGCAGGTATGGGAAGGTGGATTGTCACTTCACATGTAGTTGTTTCAATTTTCCTTCTGCTCTGGTGACAAGTGGTAAAGACAAGAGTCAAGTAAGTTCCTTTGAGAACTTACTAGTACAGAAAGGATTACAGGCTTGGTAAGGAAGGACTTTTGGTGGTGAAAGGGGTGAAGAAGCCGTAGCACTGGAAAAGGAGAGAGCAAAAGGGACTTGAGCAGTGTAAGCAAACATGTTTACTCTTTATAACTGATGTGTATGAAACTTTTCTTTCAGTTGTATGAGGCATGTCGCTACCTTGCAGCCAGATGTCACGTGAGTACACATTTTAACCTCTACTGGAAACAAGCTAAACTAAATAAAAGACATCTTGGGAAGATTAGGTACCTGACAGGCATATATATATATATGTATATATATATATGTATATATATGTATATGTATATGTATTATGTATATATATATGTGTTCATTGGAACAACAGGTTTAAATTTTCTGACAGTTGATTTCGTTCTTTAACTTTCAGTTGGGTCACTGCAGCATCCATTGTGGCACTAATTGGAAGGAATCCAACTGACCTTTTTCCCAGGAAATACTCCTCTAATATTTTGTGGGAAAAGAATGGGAACCATTTTTGTCTCATGTCTTCGTGCTTACACTTTTATTTGCTTGGTTGTAATCTGACCAGAGGAGATGTGATTTGTGGTGGTATAACTACAGTTAGTAGCTTTGTACTTCTGTATAAGATCTCATACATAAAAGGTGAAATGCAGTGCTTTCAGAGACACAGCTGAATCAATTGGTAGATTAAATATACAGAAATTTGAAATAGAATAATGTGCTGCTTATAGAATAAGATGATGGTATTTTATTAAAACCTGTGTTAACTATTTTTAAAACCTTACCTGTTTCTCTGCATAATTGTGAATAATACATTTTTCTGTACATGCTTTATTTTATAATTTTTGCATAATTTTGCATAGTATAGATGACCAGTGAAAGAGCTAACTGCAATTATAAAATGACAAATGGCCAAATAAGAAAATGCATGCATGAAAAACCTGCTGATAAACACTAGTTATTATAACCTATGCCTTTGAAACATGATGCTGTGTTTATTGGTGCTTTATGTACAAATTCTTCAAAACCTTGTTTTTTACATGCACATGTTTGGTTAGTATGCTGCAAAAGAGCATCAACAGGCCTTGGATATTCTTGATATGGAGGAGCCAATCAACAAACGACTTTTTGAAAAGTACTTGAAGGATGAAAGTGGGTTGAAAGATTCTACCACAGACTGGGAGATGTCACAGTCCTCAGTAAGTGACATTATTTTTAAAAACATTTTTGTAGGAAAAAAAACTGTGAAGTCAGAAAGTGATTTCACAGCTGTATGAATCTGATAGTGCATTGAAGCTTTCTTTTTCAGCTAACATAATTTTCAGAAATGCTGAATCATTCTTCTTTCAGTCACACATTGTGTCTTAGCTTGCCTGTATGAAAGTAACCCAAAATAAGCAATGCTTTTCAACAACTTCTTATAAATTATTTGCAGATGCTTTGCAGGAACTTCATGATATAGCATAGGTTTTTACAGTCTTTAGCTCTTTCTTGATCATGTGTCCTAACACTGCTTTCAATTGGGCTGCAGGTTCTGAGATAACAAAGCAAGTTTTTTTTTCTCCTCCAGTTATTTTTAATGAAATACTTCATAATCACTCAAGTGTTGTTCTCAGTGGGATATTCTTTGATCACATTTGTGAAAATTATGTGAGGTGAAATTTTTGAAGCTCAGTGAAAAAATTCTGTGTAGACACACAGTTTAAAGAGATTGGTGTGGTGTGTAGGCTGAAGAGTCTGTGAAGAGCTGTTAGTTTCAGAGGTACAAATTAAAATTTCTTAGCTGAAATTACAGTGTAGGTGATTGACAGATGGCATTTTCCCTGGAAGACTGAAGTAGCAAAGTGGGTTACATTGCTGATGTGAACTGATTTTGAGTGCTGATATAATGGGATTAAAGGATTGTTTAGTCTGATGATAGAGGTGGGTAATGTGTTAACTTTCTCTTTTGCTGACACTTTTGTGGCCTTCTGACTGAACTGAGTACCCATCAAGGGAATTTGGAAAGAACATGTTAGTCAATAAACATTGTAGCACAACTGGTAATTATGGGCTTTCACTGTTTCCTTTTGTGGAATGTCTATGTTTTGGATTGAAAACAAGGATATATTTTTCTGTTCAGAACAATTGATTGAGTCCCTTGATTTGGCCTTTTTCACCTCTACTGTGGTGATTCTTGTCTTGCATGAAATATGTGGTTTAATGGTCAGCAAAGAAGTGTATTGCCTTTGGAAGGGACAATTTCTCCATGTTGGATATGAAGGGAATTTAGTATAATTATGTTACAACTCAGTATCAGAGAGCTGGATTAGAATTAGAAAAGATAAACTCTGCGCTCTATGGTTTATTTTGAGCATCTGTTTGTTTGGCAGTAGGTAACCTGACAGAGAGTGCTTCGGGTTTTTCTTTGAGATAGTAGAGACAACTTTTTATTTAAAGACAGCACTAGAAAACCAGGTTCTATCATACATGAAATACTTTCTACTTTCCAGGGAGCACATTTGATTTGTGCTGAAAACTAAATTGCAAACAATGATTCAGTCTTTGACCTCCAGTCCTGCTTTTCCACCAGATCAAGAGCTCTATATGCCTTTTACGAGGGAAGATCTATGATGCTTTGGACAATAGAACCCTGGCAACTTACAGCTACAAAGAGGCCTTGAAGCTGGATGTTTACTGCTTTGAAGCATTTGATCTTTTAACTTCACACCATATGCTGACAGCACAGGAAGGTCTGGAGAGAAGTATTTCTCAAACACAAGTAAAATTTACCTGCTTTCTCAAGATGTGTTTTCCTAGATAAAAATTAAGGCAGTACAACAAGTAACAGACTCCAAAATGTTTGGAACAGAAAATGTGTTAAATGAGTGAAAATTATCATCTGTGCAAATTTGCATTTGAACTTTTATTTTTCAGTCCTGCAGTGCTAAGAGTTGAAAGAAACACAATAACCCAACTGTCCTGCTTGTTAGCTCCTGAAGCTCTTCTGCTCTGCCCAGCCCAAAGTTTTGTTCTGTGTTCTCAATTTCATAGGCTTTGAACCAATGAAACCCTCCTGGGCTTTGCTTAGGCATTAGTTAATAGAGCATTCCAAGTGATAACATTTGACATGTGGAGTAAATAAAAATAATGGTGTGTTATTTCATCTTTATTACATTTTATTTTAAAGTGTAGAAGGAGTAACTAATTAATCCTAAATTTCCAAAATTAGTAGTGTTATCTGTTTCAGTGTATCTGTGCTGTTATAGTCCTTGCAGTTGGGATGACCATCATAAAATCCTTTGTATCTCTAAGGTCTTGAAATGTTGGATCATGCTGTTTCTTCTGTAATATGACCATTTCAATGTTTTTTAATTCATATAGAAAAAGAACTCCTTGAATCTCTACCTCTTAATAGACAATGTACAGAAGAAGAGCAGGAATTGCTTCACTTTTTATTTGAGAATAAATTGAAAAAGGTAAGTCCCAAAAATCTGGATAATTCATTGAAATTCTTGACTTTGGGTGTAAATTTTCTTGGATCTCATTTATTCAGAACATGGAAATAATTATGGACTTTGTAATTTTTAAAATTTTTGATGCAGTACATCTCACTTTATGCAGTAGTATAACAGCTTTCTGTTGATTGTTTTCTGCTGTGGTAGCAACTTGAAATTCTGATTAATGTTTTTGAAAATTTATTTATTGAGAAACTTCTAGTTTCCCAACTTCTAGGCTGGGAAAAGGAATAGAGTTAGTAGCATAGAGAAAACATCCGTTACCTGAAAATAGTAGGCTGTAAGAACATCATTCCAGATTATTCTTATCCAAAGACAAGGTGATAAGGAGCATTAAAAATATATATTGCTCAGTTTTAATTTCTACAGCCTACATGAAACATATTGGCAAGCATCTTTTGTGTCCTAAATGAGCTTTTAAATACATTTTAAAGAAGCATTTTACCAAATACAGGTTTTATGTACTTTCAGATTAAAAATAAAAATTTTAAGAACTTTAGAGCTTCTTAAATATTCTTTTAGGACTAAAAATGATAATACTTATACCATCTGATTTTAGTTTAGTTTTTGTTTCAAATGTTGTTTCTTTTGTCTTTCAGTATAATAAACCCAGTGAAACACTGATTCCTGAATCAGTAGATGGTCTTCAGGAAAACCTGGATGTGGTAGTATCCCTAGCAGAAAGGCATTATTACAACTGTGACTTCAAAATGTGTTATAAGCTTACTTCAGTGTAAGTGTGCAAAGCAACTTTCAGGTTTTTTTCTCATATGGTGGAATGTAATAATTATACCTGGACTTAGAGAAAATGTTGTTGTTCAATGGGTAAACATACATAACAATTTGATATGTATTGCAATGTACATGTCATGTGTTATATGTGTCTCAGGTATTTAAAATGTGTGCTTTGTGTCTGGCTAGACATGGTATAATTATAATACACATCAGAAGTCTCCAAGGTAAAACTCAGCTTAATCAGCACTGTGCTGAACCACCCTTCATCCACCCTCTTCCTTATTCTGGTACCTTCAATCACTGTGCTCTCTGCTTCCTTCTTGTTTGGCCTTCAGAATGAACTGGTTTGAATCAGTTGGTTGGTTAGGAAGTTTGATTTGTCTGACCAATAGCAGTTACAGTGTTATTGACAGTGACCAAAAGATATTATTAATTTAAAAGCCAGCCTGTCATTTCTAATTCTGATGGCCAAGTATTGTGTACCAGTTTGTACACAGCCCAGGCGTGTGCTGCTGCTGGGGCAGGGGCTCACAACGCTGCCATGGTTTGCTCTCAGCTGCTGTAGGTCTGCACTCATGGATGTGTTTCTGAATGGAAACAGGAAGGAATTCTGTTTCTGAAAGGAAACAGAATTTTACAGCTGAGCCAAACGTGATTCTGAAGGCATACTGCCTGCCTGGTGTTAACCTCAGGAAGTTGAGGATTGTTGTTTGAAAGCTGCTGTCAAATGTATGGAAAAGATGAACAGAAATGTTGTTTGCTGTCTGCTGGTTAAATTTGAAGTAACCTGCAAAACAAAAGAGAATTCTATTCTGATTTTCTAATTGTATATTCATCTTGAAAGAATTTTCTGTTATCCTCTTTTGTTAAGCTAAATTAAGTGTTGTATTTCTGGTCTAAAGAGAGCCTTTATTATGCTGTTAATAGCTGTGCTTTAATCATAAATAGTTTTCTAATGCCTAAAGTGGCAACTAACTGGAACATTACATGCTATACAAGCAGTTTGCTTTTAACACATTAAAGTTTTTGAAGTGTGCATTACAGTTTTTTAATTATTTTATTTTTTAGAGTGATGGAAAAAGATCCCTTCCATGCGAATTGTTTACCTGTACATATAGGGACACTTGTGGAGCTTAACAAAGCAAATGGTAAGGAACACAGCATTTAATACAACTCAACAGAAGGCTCTAAAGCCCCAGTTTTAGTAAAGAATTAAAGATGCCAAGAAACCCCTTTATATACCATATAAAAAATTACATCTACTTTTCCTCCTCTTGAAACCTGCTGTTTCAAGAAAACAGTGGCAATTGATAAAAAAGGGAATTTCAGAGCTGACAGCAGGATTAGGGGAAGTAGATGTGCAAAGAGTTGATGGTCATGAGTGTAGCTGTCTTTTAACCACTGCACTGTGTAGCCAGGAGGCCTGTGAGCTGCACTGCCTCATCCCTGTCATTGTGATTTCTGTTTCCAGGTGATCTTTGTACAGTATCGGGCTGCACTTTTTCTGCTTAAGAATAAAATATAAAAAATAAACTAGAAAGTAATCTTCAGCAATGGTGTATGCTTAGGTGGACATGAGAAAAAATTCTAGAGTCTCCTTGCTTTTGCTGTTGTGGAGGCCTCTCTTTAGTTCAAACAAATTAATAATCATGCAACACTTTGATTGGAATTACAGTAATAGCTTACTTGCAACTGGGGTAGCTTTTTCTCATTCCAGAATGCATATCAAACAAGGGAGTAGCTTGAATATCTTTAAAATCAATTGGAAAATAGAATAAGGAGCTCATATGCTGTGCAGTCTATCAGGATGGTGCATTATATATACACAAATAGGTCATTAGGTGTGCTGGTACTTCTTGGGGATTAGTGAATGTTACTTTACAGTTAAGTACATCTGAAAATGGGGCCACTACTCTGATTTTTCTTCTAAATCTGCCTTGAGAAGCATTATGTATAGAAGTTAATGTTTTGTAAGCCAGTTGTAATACTGTTTTTTTTCTGAGCTGAGATACAGTGCTCCAGGACAATCTCATTGGTTTAAGAGCACTGTACTCTGGAAAAATAGAAACTTTACATACCCTGATGCTATTTCCTTTGAAATTGCATATTGTTACCCTATTGCTGATTACTGCTGCTATTAGGAAACCTGTAGTAAGTTATTCCAGTAACTAGAATTATTATTTTTACTAAAAAAGTAATCACTTGGAATTATTCCAAATAATATAATAATTTATTTGCTTTTGTCCTATTTTCAGCATATTAATGCACAAGACTCTACTTTGAAATGGATCTAGCCAGTATGTTATACCTTTTAGATGTAGGAAGTTGAATAGTGTTTTACCTTGACAAGGTACATTCAAGTGTAATACTACTGGCATTTATTGTAATGTATGGTAATGACCTAAGTTATTGCAGAATTCTTAAAGGGTGGGAAAACAGAGCTGCTTATTTATGTCTTGTGAAGACTGCTTCACAAGAGGGTTGTTTTGGTTGGGTTTTCTTTAGCTAATTGCAAAACTGAATCTATTTTGAGGCAATTTGAAGCATTTTAACTAAAACAAAACATTTTGTTCATTTGTGAATTAATAATGTTAGATGTTCTGTATATTTTGTATGGAAAGCTAAAAGACTTGAAACATCTAAGTGTTTTAGAATGTTTTAATTTTCTTTTCCTGTTTCTTCCCACTATGTAGAACTTTTCTATCTTTCTCACAAACTGGTGGACTTGTACCCAAATAATCCTGTAAGTTGTTCTAAATTTTTGTTGTGAGGTAGTTTCTTTTTTTAGGTGAAAGCACATAAAAGTTGTAATGTATTAGTTTGAGCTACAGAATTCAAAATCTGTTTCTGGTATGAAGTTTGTAGAAATGGTTCACTCCTTTTATGTTCTCTACACTGTAATTTCTTTACTCCAAGGTTCTTTTTTTAAAATTAAGTACCTGTAAAAGGTATTCAGTGCCAGTTATTTACTTTGATTAATAATTTAAAACAAATGCTGCAGTAATAAATGTCTACATGTCTCTGAGCAACCTTTTCCAGTGTTTGATCACCTTCACAGTAAAAATTGTTTTTCTTTGACTTGATCTTAATTTCCCATCCTGCAACTTGTACCCATTGCTTCCTGTCCTATTACTGCACCCCTGAAAAGAATCTGGCTCTGTCTTGTATTCCCTACCATTAAATAATTGAAGACAGCAGGAAGCTTCCCACTTAGCTCTTCATGAGGCTGAGGAAGCCCCAGTTAGAAAGGTACCTGCCAGCAGTTCCAGCTTATCTGTAATACCAAATAATTTGAAGAGCTGACTGATTTCAGTGGAAATGTTCCTAACTTCTCTAATGACCATGTCTTCCTCTCTTTTGATGCTTCACGGTGTGAAGTGTGATGTATCTAATAATATTCTATTTTGATTTTAATGTGTAGGTGTCATGGTTTGCAGTAGGATGCTATTATCTCATGGTTGGCCACAAAAATGAACATGCTAGAAGATATCTCAGGTAATTTTTTTTTCTGTTTTTCTTAGTGAATCTGTTGCTCACTTGCTAAGTAAGCATTTATTGTTTGTGATTGTTTGAAGCTCATAAAGAGAGGCCTCAATAAACTGGTTGCTAATTAAATACTTTCATTGCCATCCTTTTTTTGGTATAGCAGTTTGGACCTCATCTGTAGAAATACTTTAAAAATGAGGAAGACTAATGTGGTGTCTCTCTAGGCAGTGACCTTCCTGTTCTGGGCAGGTGTAGTCCCTGCAGTTGCTCATGTTGCTGAGCTAATTACAGCTGTGGGTGATCAGGCCTCAGTTCTCAGTTGAGGGACACTCAGGTATTCTCCCAGGTTCAGGTTTCATATCTGAAAGGAAAGAATTATATGGAAAATCCCAATGTTTGGCTGTCCAGTTCCTTCTGTGCACAAGTGGGCTTTTTAGCTTTTTAGGTTTGGTCAGTGCTGTTTTCTGTAGGTGTTCTGTATGTGCAATGAATATCAGCACTGGGGAGCAGGACCTTGCTGTGAAGCAGGGCATTTGTTCTGGTGCTGTAAGCTCAAACTGAGAGGGCATAAATCAAACTGTAAGACTAATTTTTCCTGAGACCTTTACAGACAATATATGTAAAGATGGGTTAGTCATGTATACTTTTAAAATGCCTGGTTATTATGAGTAAAATATTTAAATTCCTTACAAATAGCACTGTGAAATTCTTCAAGCAGTTGTCCTGAGTGATATATTTGGTTTTGGTGCTGAAATAAAAAACATCTTTAAATGTACAAGCATCTCTAGACAGCAAGAAAGTATCTGTGGATGTATACTCTGATCAAAATTCAGAGTAGTTCTGGCAAAAGGGAAAAGAGGTCTGCTGAAAGTGAAATAGTAACAAGATGCTTAAATATCTTGGAGAACAATTATAGTGTAAAGCTAACAAGGCTAGGGACAACTGTGGGCTACACAGTGGTTTCCAGAAAAGAAACTTGAAGACACAGTCAAATATCTACATATCTTTCATTGCTGTTATGGGTGGAAGATAAAAAGGTTTGAAAGTTTATATCTAAAATGTTTAGATAGTGTCTAAATTTTATATCTAAATTGTTCTAATGTTTGAAACTTTAGATATAAAGTTTTGTCTCAGAAGACAGAGAACAAACCATTCTCTAGGATCTGTCGTGGGAAATAATGAGTTTAACTCTGACAGACAAAATTTAGATTATATGTTAGGAAAAAAGTAAGTTGTTAAGGATAGTTAAGCAATATGATAGAATACTAAGGAACATGTATTACTTCCATGTCGGAAGCTTTTAAGAAAAGACTGGGCACACTTGTTATGAGCTGTTTAGTTATGAACACCCTTGCCTTCAAATTCAGAAAGTAATCTACAGAGCTTTCTAATGTTCTTGTCAAGTCCACCTTTCTGTGAAGTCTCTGGGTTGATGTCTTGATGCTCAGGTTGCAGGTTTCAGTTTAAGACTTGAGTGACATTTTGTATACTTCCCTGATGCATGGCCTGTGATGTGACAAATGCTCATCTTCTTCAAAGCTAGCAGAATTAGATGGCAAAATTTCAACTTGGATGTTCATTTGGTATATCATATCCTTCTTCTTAAACTTGGATTTAATAGAATATATTTATTTCGAAATGTATAGCTAGGATTTTGCAATGAATTTTGAGTCACTGCTAATGTTTCCTGTATTTTATTTAATCCACCTACTATATAATTATGTTCAGTAATATCAAATAATTCCTCCTGTCTGTGAACAATAGCAGAAATAATGAAATCAATTCACAAGAATGTGTGATCCTTCTAAGTGCAAAATAGTTTGAACTTTTAAAATGAGCTTTGTTTATCACTGGTTATTACTGACAATTATCTTAATAGATAACCTAACCATGTAGCATAGCATTGCTGTCTGAGTAGACATCTGAAGCAGATGAAATTTAATTTCAGATGTGTTTGCTTGTGACTTGCTCTTGTTTTTAGCAAAGCCACGACGCTGGAGCGAACCTATGGCCCTGCATGGATAGCATATGGACATTCCTTTGCAGTGGAGAGTGAGCATGACCAGGCAATGGCTGCGTACTTCACAGCTGCACAGCTCATGAAAGGGTCTGTACAAACATCATATTTGGGAAGATTCAAATGAATCCATAAGTAGTGTAGAATATTGACTTCCATCTATTAGTTTCTCTGGCTCTGGATTGGAGGCGCTTGAGATGGTAGTTCACGTTCGGACTCAGATGTTTATTATTTCTTATCAGTAAAACAGTTTCACAACTATGAGTTTAGTAGCTTTTCATTAGCAAGGCACAAAATGGATGACTATATCTTGTTATAAGGTCTTTTAAGACTAAACTATCTAATTAAGAAAGGACACTTAGATCATTTTTTCCTTTTAACCCAATAACTGATCTTTAGAAGCCCGCAATGCGGACTTTTCTGTCCAATTACAAAACATCACCCAAACCCATGAAGAAGAAGAAAAAGGAAGGTAAAAAAGAACAACCTGCCTCTACCCTAAAACCTCCATCTGGCTTCATATTTATTTCCATATTCTAAAACCCCAAACTCCAAGTCTTCCACCCTGTGATATTACACACTTCTAACCAACTACACACCCGTAATCCCAGTGCTGTCAATCAATTTTGGAAGCCTTCTCCACAGCCTCAGGTCAATTGTAGTGTTCTCTTGTGGGTCAGTGCCTTTAAGCACAGAAAATTCTCAGCATCCAGGATTCCAACATACATCCCTTTAAACAGTAGCAATGCATTTGCAACAATTATGTGGTAAAGAACAAGGGAGGGAAAACATCCCCAATAATTTAACCATCTACTTTCAACTGCATTATTGTGATTATTATTCTGATTTTGTAAGTTCTAAAGTCAAGTTTTATGTATAGGTAATCTAAGTTCTGCCTGAACATCTTCTGAAATTTGTGAATCATGGTTGTCATACCAGCTCATCAATTGCTGCATAGTAATAGTTTGAACAGCTCTTTCATGCTGTGGGAGGGGGTTGTAAAATGAGTCGTGAACTAATTGTGTCATATCGCATATAAAAGTATCACATTTGACTGTAGTTACTGGGAAATGTAATTCTTTTATCAATTACTTCTTCCATGTTCTATTTGTAAATTAAATGTATGAATGAAATTAGGGGAAAAACCATCAGAACTAGACTTAAGTGCTGAGAAAATACATGTGATTGCAGGGCAGGTTACAATGATCTATTGGAATTTAGTCTCTTGTTAAACAGAGATGTAAAATCTTTTACCGTTCCCCTTAGGTTAGTAGTCCATTTAAATCAGCTTTTACTTGTATGTACCTAAACATATGCAAAAAGTTGGCATGTCTTTATAGTTTGTGACTCTGTTCTTGACAACCACACAGAAACAAACCTGCACTTTGTTTTATGGTTTTTAGGTGTCATTTGCCTATGCTCTATATTGGACTGGAATATGGTTTGACCAACAACTCCAAGTTGGCTGAACGGTTTTTCAGCCAAGCTTTAAGCATTGCACCTGAAGATCCTTTTGTTATGCACGAAGTTGGAGTGGTGGCATTTCAAAATGGAGAGTAAGCTTGCAAAATGTGATCAAATACTATCTTAAACATGTATTATTCTTAATTGTAATGTACCAATATATCTAAAGTATCTAAAGTACTTATATTGAACTGTAGTGTCTTTTGGTCATAGTTTAGATAGTCTTAAACCCTTGCTTTCTACATTGTTCTTCCTTGTGTAAGATTGAACAAGAACAGAATTTAATGCTCGAGGAACATCCAGAGATTGATGCTATCTCCTGTGTGCCTTTCATTGTGTAGTTGAATGCCTAAAAAGGCATCTATCTGCACACATATTATAAAAGTTTGTACAGCAATACATTTTGTCAGCTCAGGAGGTTCCAAATTTATTCTGGGGGAAAAAGCTCTAACCTATATAAGAATTGTTTAGCCAGTATTTTTCGTTTGATTCTGATTTTGTTTTTGTTTTGTCATGTTAGCTCTTAGGACTACAATGCAAAATATAGCTAAATGTAAATTACCGGGTTTTACATCTAATTTCACTCATATGATGAAATAATGTCATAGAAATCTTTTTTGAATACAGTTTTCTCATACTGCTGATGAAACCTCTTCACTAATTTACTTGTCTTTCCCCCCACCCCTTCAATCATTAGCTGGAAAACTGCAGAAAAGTGGTTCCTTGATGCACTGGAGAAAATCAAAGCTATTGGAAATGAGGTATTTATTCTAGTAACATGCAAGATCATAAATTTATAAAACTCCTGCAAATTCTGTAATAGCTTGTGACAAAACATGTTGTGCTTACTTTAAGATACAAGTAATGCAGTATAAATTTTATTTTGAAACTGTGCCTAGGCTGAGACTTGACTTCACTTTTTCTAGTTAAGTAGAAAACAAGTTTTGTTTGGTTTGCATCAAGTTTTAATAACACTGACCCTTTAAAGAAATATTATTAGCTTTGGGGAATGTAAAAAATATAAAAATTAGTTGTTGAATAAATGTTTTTAGCTTGTGTGTTTTGTTAAGAGTTTAAAATGCTTGTGGAATTTTTCTTATTCATTAACAAAATTCCCTATTCATTTGTATATTTTGTTTTTTTAAAGTAGACAAAATTTAATTACAGTCTAGGAAGCTGCAGTGATTTGAATTGTTGCATTATTTTGCAGGTAACAGTTGATAAGTGGGAGCCTTTATTGAACAACTTGGGACATGTCTGCAGAAAACTCAAGTAAGCAGAGAGTACTGGGGCTCCATTTCTCTGTAATGCTGCACAAATGTTTTCTCCCTCCTTTATATCAAGATGGTGTACCACATGAGAGCAGTGTAGAATTACCCTGTAAGAACAAGATTGTCTAAATCAGCTTGTGTACAAAACTGCATTAACCAACCCTTATATCCTTTTTATTACACAAAAGTCAAAGTACTTTATGTAAAAGCTTTTCTTTAACTATTGATTCTTATTAGGGAATTAGTTGGAGGCTTTTAGATGCTTTTATAGATGTGAATTTTAACTCTTCACTGTCCCAGTCCTCACATACTGAAATGTCCTCTGATTATTATATGAATACATAATTAACATAAAGGTAGGTTTATGACAATTAATTGCTTGGATTAGCAGTTACTATTTTTTACTGAAGTGAAATATTCAGTGGCATGAATTATAACACAGCAAGGGAGTCTTACTTTATGTTTTTTAGAACAATACTATTTAATATTTCATTTCCATAAAATTTTTATTGTATTGGTTTTTTTTGAACAATACTATTTAATATTTCATTTCCATTTTCCATATTCCATTTTCCATTCAATGAATAGAAAAAGTGTAAAGCACATATATATATATACATACAAATGTTAACAGTTTTAACAAAGACATTTTTCTCATTAATTACCTTAATCTGACTTGAACCAGTCCTTTCTTTTGTTCAATCAATGCAATTTTTAAAAAATACTTTTAGTGGTTTTAATTGCTCAATTGGTGTACACTGTAATTTTTGTTTCAAAGCTGCTAATGAGAATGTGATTATGGTAGATGAAAGCTGTACTTCTGCTTTGGCTTTGGTAATAATTGCTTTGTGCTTTAATTGCCAATTAGTCTTCATTTTCATTATGAAATAAGGACGTATAACAGTTACTCCTTGTGCCAAAATCAAACAAAAGGCACTGCTTCTGAAATCTGTTCATGAGTATAATTGCAGGATTTTTTCAAACACTTGTTTTGTTTATAATTATTTTTGTCTTTTTAAAATTTCTACAGCAGTTTAACTAACTGCTTACATCATGCTTTGTACAACTTTTAATATTTGCTCAGGTTCAGAAATCAAAGCTAAAATATTTCTGCATCCATGTAAACTATCTTCCAAGAAAATCAAGCTGAGAATTTAGGCAGCTATACATATGCTTTGACATCTTAAAAAACTCTGTAGTAACTAATTTAGTAGTGTCTGTAATACATAATATGGCTATTATGAAAAACTTGTTGGATCTATGTCTACTCACTAGTATTATGTGGTTGAAATTTCAAAGCAGTATATTCAAATACAGTGGTAGTAGTCAATTGGATGTGTAAATACTATGAGTGGAAGTGAAATTGAAATCATGTGAAAGGTCTGTGCAGCAAGCAAACATTTGCTTAATTTTTCTGCCTCAGTTGTTACTTGATGCCCTCTAACAACTTTGTGTGTTCCTCATTGCATAATTTCATTATCAGTTTGGATATTAAAATTTCTTATAACAGGTGATATCTGTCTTTAACAATGTAGAACTAGGATGTCAAATGTGACAATTTAATTTCTCAGAGTAATGCTGTAGTGTACATTTAATCCTTGTTTTATAAAATAACAAATGAAATAATCAGTGTAGTTAATAGACAGTTTTCAGACAGGTTTGTATTTGATAGATACCATGGATATGTGTAAACCTCCTTTTCTGATAGAGTGTGTTGCAAAATGATGAAGGTACCAGTGTGTGCAGCACTCAAGGGCTGTGATATTTCTGCCCAGAGAGCTTGAATTGTGTGATTTAGTCTCATACTGCTCCTTCTCTCCCTCAGGAAGGCAAATGAAAGCGACAGAAAGAAAGCCAGTGCTACAAGGAGCAGCACTAAACATCTAAAGCAATTTACCATATCAAACAGCTAAGATCTCCAAATGGGACCTAGCTGTAGGCAGCTGTTTTCCTACATAAGGAGAACAATGATTTTTCAATTACACTGAGGAAGAAAATTGTCAATATCCATGAGCCTTTTGTACATTCTATTACTATGTTCAGAGTGCAAAGCAATAATTTTCAAGTTCTGGCACAATTGTGTTCCGCTTTGCTAAGAAAATACCCACAGGGCACTGTAAAGCTTACTAACAGATGCCCTGTACTTACCCCTACCAGGAAGTACGAAGAAGCACTGGAATACCATCGCCAGGCTCTGGTGTTGATCCCTCAGAATGCTTCTACTTACTCTGCCATTGGCTACATACACAGCCTCATGGGCAATTTTGAAAGTGCCATTGACTATTTCCACACGGTATGTAACTGCCTGCAGCTGAAGGGCTGGCCACAGATTCTGTTACTTACTCTTTCACTCTGGTTTGGGTTTGGAACAAAGAACCAGCATTTTTTCCAGCCTCCAAATGAGTGTTTATTTTATAGTCTTAATTTATTTATTTTTCTTAAATCTTCTATATTTTATTGGTTAGGTAAAAAATGGCCTCTTCGGCAAACTTTGAATTGCAATTTACGTATTATGTACATAAGCTTCTCATGCACGTGAAATAATTTTAAATACTTCCAACTTAGAAATTTTACAGTAAGTAAACAGCAGCATATGTTGTAGCTCATATGTGAATGATTTCCTGTCTGTATCTATGTTCTTTTCTGGTTTTGGTTTTGTACTTTCCTTGCTTACTACTTCAGCCAGTTCATATGATAGTGTTATTTTGGTTGTGCAGTGTTTTGCTTTTACAGTGAAGACTATGCTCAGCTAGCATTGTGGAACAACAAACCAACAAACTGAACCACTGCAGACTTATGAAGTAAATGTTTTTATTTGATGCTAAATACTTTTTACTGGTTTTTTTCAATAGGCCCTTGGTCTCAGGCGGGATGACACATTTTCGGTCACAATGCTCGGCCACTGCATAGAAATGTACATTGGTGATTCTGAAGCCTATATTGGTAAGTCTCTGACTTATGTGTCTCGTGAAGTCATTGAGTCCTTTGAGAGGACTGTTATGTCAAGGGCTGCCTACCACTACCTAATTAACTCACAAAGTAGAGGATGTCTTTCTTGGGGTTTTTTGGGTTGGTTTTTTTAATGGCTAAGTGAGTCAGAACTTAGCAGATGACCACTGTTTTTTGTGAGCAGCATGACAGTACTCTCACCAGCATAAATAAAAGAAACACTTTGTCATTAAAGGTGTCAATGGTTTCTTTTATAGAAAATATTTATTTGTGGCATCTTAGATTGCATAGGGAATGGGGGAAAAATTCAACAGAAGTATGGAGTTAGGAAATAAGAGCACTAATGCTAATGTTGTTGCAGAGCAAGGTATTTTCACCTTGTCAAAACTTGTCTCTGTGGAGACAGGATAGGTTCTTCTGACTACAAAAATACAGCTTTATATATGGTTTTAAAAAAGTGCTTCATAACAGTAATACATTATATTGCCATGGGTTTAAATTTTCTATGAAGTATTTTCCCTGCAAAAACAGCTTCTATATTTTTTAATAGATTTCTGCTTCATTGAACTTAGTGATTTATCTGTAGTGAACACAGTTGATGTCTTGTCAAGCATGTTAAGAAGGCTGAAGCCTTAAAAGTAAAAGCCATCTGTGTGCTCTAGTGCTTTTCCTGCAGATTTTTCACACAATTGAAACAGATGTTTCTTCTCAATATTGTCTTGCTCCATATGTAGTCACTTAACACATCTGGAAGAACCATGCAGCCATGTGATATGCATTAATGCAAACCAAGCTGTGTGTAACTTAAACAAGAAAAAAGCCCCCTGGAGAATTGGGAAGGGAATTGGCAATTACTTCTCAAAACACACTTTTGAAACTGAGTTGTGTTTCTTGTATTGTGCTTTTTTGAGAAAGGGGGCTGCTGAATTTTTTCAGAACAACTCATTCAGCTTCAGTCATTAAGCAGCAGCAGCTCCTTGATGGTCTGAAAGCAGAGAATTATAGTAGTTTTTGAATGATAGTTTCTTTGAGATTACATTTTTTGTGAGTATTCATTTGAAATAAACTACTGGTTTGTCTGTTTTCCTAGGAACAGAGATCAAAGACAAATTAAGATGTTATGACTTTGATGTACACACAGTGAAGACATTAAAGAACATAATTTCACCTCCCTGGGATTTCAGAGAATTCGACATAGAAAGACAAACTGTGGATGAAAGTGGCATAGTAACATTAGAGACATCAAATCAAAGAAAAAGTACAGATACCAGTCGCCCATTGGAAGAAACATTTGAGATTGAAATGAATGAAAGTGATATGATGTTAGAAACATCAATGTCAGACCATAGTACGTGACCATAAATACTGGTAGAGAGCTCATTTTGTCTAAGTGTACTATGTTTGTTTTAGCATCTTTGTTATGGTGTTGTACTTTCATGAATTTGCTATTTTTTATATGAATTCAAACTACTATGTACTTAACACCAGGAGTTTTATAGTTCCTGCTTTATAAATATTCCTTTCCTGATTCCTCATGAATCCCCATCTGAATCAAGAAGACCTCATTGCATTGATGTAGGCCATATACATAGTCTGAATCCACAGTGTTGGCTATTTTGCACATGCCTGTGCATTACTGAAGATGAATTCAAGTTTTAGACACAACTGCACTTTGGAATTCAAGGGTATCAAGGGAGGAAGAGCTTGGGGGGGAGTCTGTATTTTATCAGCAATTGCACACACTCTCACTGTGGAAATCTGTTGGGTCCAGGTGATCCCAGTGCTTTCCTATGAGGACCAGCTCAGTAGTGCAGAGAAGTCTGGTTCTGTCCCAGTGACAATGGGAATTGTGCTGTGGCTCCACAAAGGGAATGGGTGATACCCATATGTTAGAAAATATAGTCTGGACTTTGCATTGAGTGCAGAATTCAATACCAGTCCCATATATTCTTGAACACTAGAAAATAAGGTGAACAAAAATGTTTTACTTCCTAGTTCTAGAACAATTCACTGAAAGTTACACATACTCCTGAAAAACATAGTATGAGCCATGAGTCTTAAGTGAAAAAGTGTTCAAGCAGAGTGTAGGAAAAATTAATAATTTAGGAGGCATATGTATCTCCTGGGCAGAGTCAGGTCTCTTCTTCAGTGTGACTGGCAAAAGGAGCTCATACAAAGGACTTTATTTTCACTTGGAATCTGGTAATTGGGGTGTGGTTCAGGTGACTTCTTTGATGTAAACTTGGGATTTTTCCTGAACATTCTGGAAGGATCTCTAATGAGTGTGTCTCAACAGCTGCTCTATTAAGCGGATCTCTTCCTTTAAAGGATCTTTTGGATGTTATTTTTACATCTGTGCTCATGTATCCTGAATAATTGCAAACAAGACTATCTCATGGATAATATGACAGCAAAGGCTTGTTGCTGCACACAGAAGGATATTGCAAATAGATTCTCAAAGATTCTCAAGGAACACAACTCCTTTTTCTCTATATCATTATTTTTAATCCAGCATGTGTCAGTCTAGTTTTCTAGTAAGACATCATGGCAATTTCTAAATGGAAGGTGGCAAAATAATATTCTAGAGAATCAGGCCTTTTGACTACTGTCAGACATGGATATAAATCTTGCAGTGTTTTGTTCCAATTTTCTCATTGGCAAAATGGTTTTAAATATTGATAGAAGTTCATCTTTCTTCCTGTACTCCCCAGTTACAATCTGATGCTGTGTTGGCTGTGATAGCAACATTGGTTTATGTTATTCCTGCCTGTAGGAATCTACTGTGCCACTTCCTCAGCTGTGGTAATACAAATCCTTGTGTGGTTACATTGTGAATGAAATCAGGGAACTGGAACAGCATTTAAAAATATTTTCTAGATCTGATCAATTCTCAGGTGCAAGGAGAGCAAGCCACTGCTGTGTTACTGGTTGTCAGTGGGGCAGAGTGGTTGGAGTGGGAGGATGGAACAGCAGCCTGTCGTGACACTGTGCTTGGCAGGTATCTGTTGGAGGTTTTTGGGCTGGCTATTGCTAACCTTTATTTATTGGTATTAAAATTGCCCAGAAAGAAATGTATGCAAAGTGTCCTAGATTGTGCAGGACTCTTTTGGATGTCGGAGGACTTCTTGATACAGCTTGACTTGGCTCCAAGCCTCTTAGGCAGCTGCAGCTGAGTTAGAGCTTGTGAGCTGGTTCATGATGTGTCTCAGACAGGACTTCAGGAGAAGTTCTTCTCTCCTCATTTATCTTCTGTTCAATGTTTTAACCTACTCTTGTTCTGTCCAAATCCCTGCCTTTGTACTTGCTGGCAGCATCTGTTTGCCCTGATCTTCTGCACCTCCCATCACCCGTCCTGCTCTTACTAGAGAGACCTTGGTGCCTTTCTGGGTTATTATGACATTCACCCTGGCTCTAGTTAAAGTGAGTATTGTCCTCATGAGGACTTTGGTTATTAGTTTTGGCCTGACTTGACCTCAGAGTCTTGATTCGTGCTTCAAGCCATTGCCATTGCCTGACTTGGCTTTGGCTGCTGAGTACATGGGTCCAGGACTGTCAGGTTGGGTGGCTGATAAATATACCCCAAAAAGGGACATTTTTACTCTGTCTCATAACTTCATCTTTCTCTTCCAAGGATTAGTTTTGTCCCAGAGAGGAGAGATCTGAATGTTGCCTTAAAGGTTTTCAGAACAGTTATGAAAACCCACAAGATATTTGTGCTGCAAATGGCTCCAAAAGTTTCTTCATAGATACTGCTGCCTAAAAGATTTGAAAACAAATAACATGTTAGTTCAGTTGATCAGGCTGCAGGTGCTAATAATGCCAGGGTTGCAAGCTTAAGCCCCATGTGGCCCATTCACTTAAAAGTTGACTCAGTGGTCCTTGTGGGTGCCTTCCAACTCAGAATATTCTGTGATTTCAGTTTTTGCAGCCAATGCCACCTACTTTTATTATTCCACATAAGATCATGTATTTCCTTCATGCTTTGGACTGTTTGAGGAACTGTCAATACAGCAGGATCTGAAGACTTGCAATGACCCTGTGTATTCTGATTAAATTGCAGGCATTTTTGCTCCTTCTCTCTAATTTCCATAGCTCTAGATCTCTAGATAAGTCTGTCTTTAAATGTGTGACATGTCCTTACTTTGGAGCTTGCTGTACCTCTGCCACCAATTCTAGGAAATTTAGTCCAAGATATTCCAACTCACAGAGGAATTTCAAGAAACTTGGGATCTAGATATTGCAAAATTCATTGATTGCAATCTAGGACTAAAAACCCTTGCTCTAATTGATGGGTCAGTACTTAGAATAATCATGAAATTATAGAATGGTGTGGGTTGGAAAGGACCTTAAAGATCCTGTAGTGCCATGGGCAGGGACACCTCTGTGCCAGTTTGGTTAAGGCCCTGTCCAACACAGCTTTGACCACTGCCAGGGATGGGAATCCAGAGTCTCCCTAGGCAACCTATTGCAGCGCCTCAGCAGCCTCGCAGTAAGTTTCTCGCTAACGTCGAGGCTACATTTGCCCTCTTTCCGTTTGTACCCACTCTCCCTTGTCCTGTCACCGCAGCTCCTGAGGAAGCCAGGCACAAAGGCCGGAGGCACCTTTGGAAGAGCTCTCCCTGCTGCGTGGCCTCAGGGGCTCAGGCTGGCGTGCGCTGCCGAAGTGTAGGCACTGCTTCATTATCACAGAGCCTCCCTGAGGGCATAAGGCTCCTGCCTCACACAAGTAATGGTTAATGGCCTTTTTTTTCTCCCTTTTCCCACTGCTTTCTCCCCAGAATTTGGCTACCCCTTAGACCCTGCATCCAAAGACTGAATAACGCACTCCGGGGTGTCTGTGCCCTTCCCGCCCTCGAGCCGCCCTGAGGCCGGGCTGACAAGGCACCGTGAGCGGAGGGAAATGGGCACGTCTCTGTGTGTTCCCCTCGCACCGGCAGCGTGGGGCCCCTGCGCAGTTCCAACAGGGACGGGGACGGGGACGGAGCCGCCGTGACTCCCCACGGCTGGCGGGGGGAGCCTCGCGAGATCCCGCCAGCCCTGCGGCCGTTCTCGCGAGCTTTCCGCCCGGCTGCGGGCGCGGCGGCTCCATGCGCTCGGAGCGGGAGGCAGGGCAGGGGCAGGGGCTGGGGCTGGGCTCGGGCCGGGGCGGCGGCCGCGACTCGCGACCCATGGACGCCCCGCTGCTGCAGGAGTCGCCGCGCTGCGACACGGAAGCTCCGCCGAAACCGCCGCCGACGTCCCCGCCGTCCCCACTGCCACTGCCGCCGCCGCTTCACCCGGCGCCGGGGAAACAGCGGGAGGAGAAGAAAACGGCGCTGAGCAAAGTGAGGGGGCGCGAGCGCGGCGCGGGGCGGGGGCGGCTCCGGTGGGAGGGAGGGCGGCTGCCGTGAGGGGACAGACCGAGCCCCATCTCGGAGGTCCGTGTGTTTGTAACGGGAATTTCTTCATCTGCAGAACGAGGGTGTTCGTTCCCTGGAGTATTGGGAGACCCCCAGCGTCAGCGCTGGAACTCATTTTACCTTTAATTGTGAAGTCAAGGCTGGCTATTGCTGTGGCAAAGCAGCTTCTGTCAAGGGCAAGAGCACATCTCTCTTCTCCGTCTTTGTTCGAGCATTTTTCATGTAATACTTGCAGACTATAACAGGCTGTGCAGGGATGTCACAGAGCCTCTCTGGCTGGAGACGTTCAGAACCCACCTGGACACGTTCCTGTGGCACCTGCTCTAGGTTATCCTGCCTTGGCAGGAGGGGTTGGACCAGAGATCCCTTCCAACCCTGACAATTCTGTGACTCCTTGTGTACTGTGAGGTTTGGTTTATTCCCGGGGTTTTTTAATTGGAAAACTGAAGAACTGAAAATAAGTATAACTCAGAGCTCAGTAAAGTTAAATTCATACATTAAAGTACTCAGAAATTAAAACAGATTGCCTGAAGTTTGATGGCCATTTTACTGCTTTGTGTGCTGGCATCATTCAGCCTGAGGTTTCTGCAGTTTTCTGGCCTTTATTATTGGGCAGTTTAGTTTGGTGTAATGGGTTGACTCTGGGTAGCTGACCTCCAGCCACACAGTGCAAGAGTCACCCTCTTGTACTTCTCCCTCAGCAAGACCCAGGAATAGGGTATGATGGAAAAAACCAAGTGTCATCACAGGAAAAACTGACGCAGCTGAGGGCAGACCTCATAGCAGCTTCTTACAGCTTTCTCACAAAGGTAAATGGAGGGGCAGGCAGTGATACTTTCTCTCTGGTGGCCAGTGTCAGGCTGTGAAGGAATGGCACAAAGCTGTGTCTGGGGAGGTTTAGATTGCGTGTAGAAAAAGGTTCTTCACCCAAAAGGTAGTTGGGCACTGGAACAGGCTCCCCAAGAAAGTAGTCAGCGCTAAGCCTGACACAGTTAAAGAAGCATTTGGCAAATGCTCTCAGGCACATGCTGTGATTCTTGGGGCAGAGCCAGGAGTGGGACTTCAGTGGTCCTTGTCCCTTCTAACTCAGGATACAGTATAGTTCTAACATGGAGAGAATTAATTTACTTAATGGATAACTAAAAATTAGAGAAGACTGTTAAAAAAAAAAGATTGCAACTGAAACACCTTCCCACCTCCCCTCTTCCTTCCCAGGCTCAACCTCCTGTGCCTGGAAGTACTGCAGAAGGATGAGGAATGGGGGTTGCAGACAGAACATAACAGCTCCTCTCTGCTGCTCTGTCTCCCTTAATACTCCTTCCCTCCTCCTGCATGGGGGACCTGACATGGGACGCTATGGGATACAGTCTTTTGTGAAGTGCTGCAGGAGGGTCCCTCCCACATGCTGCAGTTGTTCATGACCTGCTGCAGCATGAGTCTCCTTCATGGGCTGCAGGCCTTCAGGATCAACCAGATCCAGTGTGGGTTCCTCTGCACAGGCTGCAGGACCTGCAGGGCATCTCCACTGTCCGTGGCATGGGGTCCCCCATGGGCTGAGGTGGATGTCGTCTCCACTGTGGTCCTTCATGGCATGTGGAGGAGCAGTATGCCTCACCATGATCTCCTTCAAGGGACTCTGCTTCGGCACTTGGAGCACCTCCTCCCCTCCTTCTCCTGTTTGTCTGCAGGGCTGTGTCTTACACTTTTTTCACCCCTTACTCCTCTGTCTCACCCATTGCTATGCTACCTTTCCTGTCCATTCTCAAACACCTTTCCCAGAGTCACCACTGACTCGGCTGAAGGGGCTCAGCTGCGCCCTGGGCTGGATCCATTGGAGCTGCTGCACTCTGCACTGGGCAGCCCCAGCATCCTCTCAGGGGCTGCCCTGAAAAACCCCTGCAGGAGCAACTGGACAGAGACCTATTACACTGAAATACTGCTGTAACAAGGCTTAAAAGCTAGTTTAAATAATTTCTTAGAGATACCGTAAAATTTTTATGTAATCAATACCTATCTTTTAGGTTGATGATTAAATTGCAATGGCTGTTCATCAGAATATGTCAGTTATTCTACAGTTTCAAAACAATTGCAGGAACTGACACAGGGAATTTGGGCCATCTGTTTCTACAGTATTTAGATCAAATATAAATCTCCATTTCTTTTTATATATGCAGGTGGTTATTCGAAGGCTTCCTCCTTGTCTAACCAAGGAGCAACTTGAGGAGCAGCTGCATCCTCTACCTGCCCATGATTATTTTGAGTTTTGCACTGCTGATCCCAGGTGAGGATGAGCTGTTTCTGTAGGTTTTCAGGTGCTGAAAACTAATCAAGGTATGTGGGACATTCCAAATCTTGTGGTTTTCTTCTTTTTACTGTTTTTGTCAAGTTACTATTATGGTCTGCTTCAGAAGGTGGGGATAACTCGTTCTTGTTGCTAGATCCCTTGGGGCAAATTAGTGTGAAGTGACACTGAATGATCAGTATTTGTAAATAAACAATGTAGGGTTTATTATAGAACAACTTGGTTGCAAAGGAAAACAGGTAGGGAGCTGTTTTTGTGATTATTTATAGTAATGCAACATGAAAGCATTGCAATGTGAAAGTGCAACAATATCACCCAAGGACACAGACAAGGGAAAAGAAAGAGAGAGAGAAAGAAAGAAAGAAAGAAAGAAAGAAAGAAAGAAGGAAGGAAAGAAAAGCACAAAAGAAAGAAAAACAAAGTACAAGAGTGTGAGGGTCTCACCACCCATAGGTCCTGCAATAACACTTGGTTGCTGTGCAGTCTTGGATCCAGATCTGGCAGGAGGAGTTGGGGGGAAGTCCCAAATAAGTGGAGGGAGAAGATGGCAGAACACAGCATCTTTTGGGTCTATATTCACTCTGATGAATATAAATCAGTGCCTCCTCTGGGGTGGGGAGCTTCATGTAAGAATGTGGATCAGGGGACACCTTCTAAGGCAGCACAGCTGCCCATCCTGGCAGTGCACTGAGTCAGTTGTGCCCCATTGTGTCCCATCAGCAGAGATGAACCCTCTCAGGTCACACTCAGAGTTCCCAGCATTTCCCAGGAAGAGGAGAGGGAACCCCACAGCCCAGTGGTTTGTGCAAGGAAGCACAGCTTAGCATGACACGGGGCACAATCCTGTCCGGGGGATCCAGCTCTTATCTCACTCACAGCCCATCATTCACTCTGTGCCTTATCAGATCAGAGCTTTAGCCATTACACAAATAAAAGTTCACCTACTCCATCTCAACCAAGCACCCTGGCATCTCCACAAATGAGGAATGTTTTGAGTCCTTGTCTCTGGTTCAGTCTACTTCTTAAAATATTTCTGAAAGCTGGCTGTATATGCAGGGACAATGGCATTCCTGCTCTTTTCCTTTGTGGAGATTTTAAAGTGGATTTTTTTTTTTTTGTATGAATAGACCATAATGTAGTTTGAAACCCTGATGTTTCTTTTAACTTTCATTGATAAACTGTGACAGCCTGCTTAATTGGCTGTAAGATTAATTCTGGGGCAAACACTGACAGCATTTTTTATGAGTTCCATTTGAGTTTAGTTTCTTCATTTGAGTTTAGTTTCTTTGTTTACCTGCATGGATTTTTATCTGCATACAGATT